AATATGATTCAATTTTAATTCCCAAAAGCCATTGATTTCTTAGTATGAAAGAGGATGGGAACTATTTTCCTTTAAATTTACATCTTTATATGAAGTTCATATCTTCATGAGATATTACATGAGATGAAGAATTTTTTCTTTGACATGTTTATTTCTCGAAATAAAAAGGAAACTGTAAACCTATACCATTCAGTGACACCACCTTTGAAGCCTATCTTCACTAGTTTGGCCAGGAGGCAGGGGGTTATCTCATCAAATCAGCTCTCAATTAACATAAGAAAAAGGGGACCATGGGGGACCAACGGTCACCGATTAGGCATTTTTTTGCCATATAGAGCTATAAGTATGTGCAGTGGGGCTTTAAGGGAAGAACACTGGTGACTGATGGATGCTAGTCACCCCAGGAGCTCCTAACAATCTATCAGCACTGGAGATGCTCAGACATTATTAAAACAAGCTCTCTAAACAGCAGCCAGATTGGAGCACACACAAACATAGAAATGCACACATGGGTCTATCATCGAGAAATGATTCCTCCAAATACTTTATTTAAAGAAGGCCAGACTGGCCAGTCTTCGGAAATTCTTCTGTAGAAAATATACTGTAATTCAAAACCAATACAAAAAATGCATCTCAGTTTCATGTGCATGTAATTATCAACAAACAATAAAGGACTTCTGTATTTCTACCTCTCTATCCCATTAAATTACATGTCTGTGAAATTTGATTGTCCATGTTCTCGCTAAAGGTACAGTATACCATCAGCTGAGAGCCAGAAGGGCAGTAATATCCTGTAAAATGATGTTAGCTAATGCCCTTCTGGCTCTCAATAGATGAAATAAATAGTACCACAAACTGACCACTGTATCGGTCGGCATCAGGCATCCCCACCCCACCCCCCCCCCCCCCCCCCCCGCCATCTCATTAAGGAGTCCACATCACCCTCCCTGATCGAATACTCATCCCAGCGGCTGCTCAAACATTGGGTACTTGGGCCTGCTTGACGGCGGCGGACAAACTTTAATTTCCTGTTATTAGTGTAAGGCACAAACATTTACTCCTTGTTCCAAATATTGCCATTCGTGGATGCCAGCCTACAGTATTGCTAGACGGCTATAGTAGTATCTGGAAATAGGCAGGAGATGAAAGGGTTTGAATTATATTTCGTCTGCCTCAAAGATATTTGATAGTCTTCAACATGTTATAATTGTGACTAAGCTTGACATTATTGTCAACTGACGTTGTTATTTATTTTTCTTTTGATGCATAAATAATGCAGGCTAGTCATTTTCCAATTCATTTTTAACATTTTATTAATTGTAGTTCTATTTATACAGACATCATTATAATTACCAAAACTGCTTGCCACAAGATCCCTGTTACAACATATATAGTTATTGTTTCAACAAAGGAGTGTTTAATATACAATCGGCTTCCATTGACCTGTTGCATTTAAACTGTGTTTGCAGTTATTCTTTTTCAACCATTGTTGATAATTAAATTCATATACCTATATTCAATGGATTGCAGATGAATAGCTGATATGAAGTGACTTTGCACAATCCCTTGATAATTTGTGTGAATAGTCTTTACAAGTTTTATTCAAAACCTACAGCTACCAATATGAATGGAGAGCCATTGCATGCCTGCACAAAATACAGCAAAATTCTTATGGAAATATTTGCCCTCTTACTTCATCCCAAGGTGTCACAATTTGGACGGACTATCCCTTGGAGGAAATATGGAGTGGCGGATAGATGGGGATCCAGTATAATTTCATTTTTAGGGTAGCAGGTAATCAGATTTTAGGGGCACGTGTGCAAACATGGCTGCCACGGCCGGCACATGATCCAGTCATCTTAGGTTCCCCCGGGGAACATTGAACCTCCTCATTCCATTAGTGTCATCAGCTGAGAACCCCCTTCAGACCTCCTTGGGTTACCTCTGACCATCGTGATGTAGGGTCGAGTATTCGTAAATGAATGAGATGAATCTAAACTATAAAAGTTATTTGGAAAAGCTCTTTAAAGGTTTTCATCCATAGCCCAAAACATTGTAATGTAGGTTGTACATCGGTGAATAAATCAGGTGAATCTAAACATCAAGAAGGTTTAAATCCATGGACTACCAAGACTACTGCTTTATCTGAATAGGTTGATAACACTATTTGATAACATTAGCATATTTAGATTGTACTTTTACTTTCACAACATTTCATTACATTTTTAAATATTGTCACCCTGCTGCATATATATACTCCCTTCTATTACTTAAGTGTAATTGCCCCCAGGCATTCTTAAGATCAAAACAGCTGCTTTATTCATATAAACATTCAGAATTGAACCTGCATACATGTAGTCTATTTACATTGATACTAAGTCCACATCTACATAAGATGATCATTTCTCTATCCCTTCTTCCTTCCTCTCTACTCTTTCTCTGTCTTTTTGCTTCCCTTTCTCAATTCCCCAGACATTCTTCAGTTCCCTCATCTATCTCTTTGTGTGCACTGCATTACATTCTTTGCAACACTTTTCCTTTCCTGTCTCACAATTTATCTCTTAAACCTTTCTTGTTTCCTCTGTACTTCTCCATCTGTACATATATCCTCATGTATCTCGAGGTCTGACTCTCCATGAATGTAATTCATTTAATTTCTGTGAAAGGAATACCCAACAAGTTCTCAATCCTCCCCAAAATGATCCTCTTTAAAGTGCATGACATTGTCACTTGCTCGGTGCATTGAAGCATTGACCCTATTTCTCATGAGAGTTCGCTCCTTATGTTCCCCTATGCCTCGCCCTCTATGTTCCCACTCTGCGTTACCCTACCATAATCCTATAACTTAGGGTTAATCCTTACCACTCCTATCTTCAGGCCATGATTTGTCCATGCATTTATCCTCAGGCAAACTAGCCACTCTCTCTCCCTCCCTTCTGTCTTTGTCTCCTAATTAGCATAGACCCTCTGTAGAGGTGTATGATGTAGAGCTGATGCTCTGCATTGCTTGATTAGATATATTTGAGCATCTTCTTTGCTCTTTGCTAAATCTTTACCAGGAGCAGATGATGAAAATGGTATGTTTGATGTGACTCAGAATGTCTTCCTTCTCTGATAGCTAAAGTAGCATTGCTAGATAAGAGGAACGGCTGATATGATAGATAGTTAACCAATTGTCCAATTCCTTCTTGAAATTGAATGGTTCCTGCATTAAGCTTAAGGGAATACCTGTAAGAATATTAAATAGTCAACTAGCTAAGATCAGAGATATTACTTCAGAAGCAGATCCGAACCCTTACATTTTAAAATGGCAAATGGTCATCATGAATATAAGCTTCATATGACAATGGGCAAGGAAACACTTTGATATCTTGTTATATTCATTTAAAAACTCTTCCTCTGACTGTACCTTTACAGTGTATATGCAAATTTTTCATTTATGGATTGAAATAAATTTCAAAGTGACCATGCTTTGTAACTTTGTTTGTTTGTAATGTACACAAACATGCATTTCTTTCCAAATTGCATGTGATACAGAGCTAATTATGTGTCCCTTCAGCCATCATCATCATAGAACAAAGTAATAACTGTGTCACCCTCCAGCTTAGCAGACCGATATACACACCTTGACTGAACACTTGGTTAGATACCTAGCAACACATCACATGACTTCTAGAGTAAACCCTCAAAGTCATATATGCTCTAAAAGAAACAGACGTTGATCAGTAATTTCCTATATTCAGCATTATTCATAGGAAGTGTAATGCTACTCAATGCACCTGCACCCTAGTGCCTCAATTCCTTCTTGCATGAACTGGATTTGACTGTTTTGTACATAATGTTGAAGGGATCACTTTCATCTCTATTACTCTCTCTCTCTCTCTCTCTCTCTCTCTCTCTCTGCTGTTATTCCTGGAGATCTTTCACTGTCTTTTTAGATCTCTTCTCTCTCTTTCTTCGTCCCTGTCTATTCTCCATCCCTCATGAAACCAAGATTTGTATTACAGTTTCTTATGTGCTTAAGAAATAGTCCAATCTCTCCTCCCGACTCTCTTAAACCATCTGTATTCCTCTCTCTCTTTCTCCTCATACCTCTTCCTTGAAGCACGTTGACTCTCTCCCTCCTAATCACTTCCTCTCACTTCGCTAGCTACCCCCACCCATATTCACAGTTTAATATTCCCATCAGAGGCCCTCTCATAAACCTCGTGCGACGGTATTGATCTGTGCTAGACTGTCATTGGGTAGTGAACAAAGAGGTGGCAAGAAATTGAATATCCATCTAGATTTCTTTTTCATTTTCTCCTAGGGTGTCATCCTCTCTCTAGTCAGGGTGTATTTCCAAACTTTTATTTGTCTCTCATTGTCTTGCGGCAACCTTGACTCATAACTTCCGCAGGGAAGGAATGATGCGAAATTAATTTTGTTGTGTATGTGGTTGACAAGACTGCTTTTTAAGATATGAAATGTAGATATGCATAGCAACATTAATGTCACATTTGTTTACTGGCGATGTTATGAGTCAATGTCACTGCAAGATATTAGAAGACAAAAAGATGATAAAAGTGTATTTTTACGATACCTGTTTGAAGCATGATTTTAATTTCTCATGAATAAATTTCACATGATATATACTATGAATTTACTTCTATTACCTGCATTTGCAATTCAGATTTGTATCCAAACATTTTCTAGCTCAGTCTTCAACAATTCTATATCATTCAGTAATTGAAAATGTTCTTATCCTCAAATATGACTTTCAAATTATCATCAATTTTACATGTATATGTAACTTTAACAGTAATATTCAAGTACTTCATATGTCTCTATCTCTATGCACTTTATGAATGCAAACTCAATCTCTGCATAATTAGATACTTAATAACATTGCATGACATTGCACCGAAATGATACCAGATTATATACACAGAAGTGACATAGTGGATTACATGGATATACTTTTACTTATTATAGAAACTCTTGCTTTTATTTTTATCCAGGAACCAACTGTGAGATTGATAGCGGTACAGAGCGCTGCACGGGCTCAACAGATAGCATCTGCAAGCATGGAGGTACATGTCGAAACTTTCTCAACGGGGGCTTCGATTGTAGCTGTCCCAACCCGTACGAGTTTGATGGTCCTTTCTGCGAGGTTCGGACGCGGAATTTTCCGCCTAAATCATTCATGATGTTCTGGTCGCTGAGTCAGAGAGTGAGGCTCCAACTGTCTGTCAGGTAAACAATAAACAACAGTAATCTATAACAGTACTAAACAATAAGAATAATATCTATTAAAAAAACAATAAGAAATACAACAATGATGATTGTAACAAGTGCACATTCAAAAAAAAAAATATTGTCATACATCAACTCTACGTGGCATTTTAAAATATTGTTTATAGTATTTAAATATTTATTGCTAATTTACAAACTGCATTTTATTCATCAATTATGCATTATGCGTCATGTGAATGCCCATGACTATGTTGAACAAGTAATGAATGAGAAATGTATCCATTGTTTGCGGGTAGCAGGTTTGTGTAACCTTATTTGGGCAGTTTTTGCCTCAAAGGCCTTCTGGTGTGCAAGTCTGCAATCTTACATGTACTTTCAATAATGATGAAAATAATGTTATTCCGTACTCTTACTGTGCAAAATATTTAAAGTGTATGTTATATTTCTCTTTGCACATGTATCCAAAAATGTTTCAAGTTTTTACCCTTGTAATAGGCCTGCTGCCATGATGAGACACTATACATTGCATTCAATTTTACCTGATGTATTGTGCATTAGACGGCATTCGTATGTAGCACTTTGAACGCTGTGTGACCCAGCTATTATGGCTAAAGCATCATGCAAAAAGCTCTGTCATTTATGGATTAACAGATGGGACACCATAGAATTATTGTGCATTTGCCCATGTAGGAAAACAGTTTGCTTTTGACATTTGACCTGAAATGGTTCATTTATCACAATTACTGCAATCCTAAATAGTTGGGAGTTTTGTGTGCCCATTCAATCAACAAGTTCAAATTCATGTATGAAATAATCAGAACAGACACAAAACTCCCATCAATTGTATCAAAACATGATTTATTCTGCTAAATTCTGAAGCTATTATCACCAGGCAGTTATTAGAAAATGATATGATAGAGATGTATTTTGATCTCTTGCTATCTTCCCAACAAGAGTTGGAAAGAATGAATGTGATTGGTGCCTTGAGGCATCGCTGAGGCAAAGAATAAAAAGAGGCAGATACTTCTGATTTTGGAATAATTGAATCAAGATTATATTTGTCTATGGTGGTCAATAGATGTCTCTGACATGATAGATGCTTTCCTGTGGTGGTCATATAGTGTAAAGACAGGCAGAAGAAGTCACTTTACTCAACAGATTTGGGTGAAAATATCTACATTGGCTATGTTCACATGGGACTGTTGAAGTTTTAAACTTTACGTTTTTGAAACGTCAAAGTTATAAACCAAGATGAACTAACAATGACGAGGGTTAACATGGAACCAAAACAACCAGTGTTCAAAGCTGGTGTAACCTTAAAGCTAATTAGAAATGTCAGCACTGCTTATAAATTTGGGAGAGGACCCCAGCTGCTCATAGTCATTGTGCTAACCTTAAGATTGCTAATGGTTTATAACTTCACATAAACGTAAAGTTTTGTAACCATGAGTGCGTCTACATGTTCCTAACTACAAGATAACTTTGAAGTTTAAAAACACAGCCTAAACTTAGAGTTTGTGGACTGTCGTGAAAACCTATTATTATTTAGAGGTGGAAAACATGGATAAGAACCCATGTGATTGACGTAAATTATAACCAATATAATGGGAGCTTATATATTGCCGTTTATGTTTGATCGAACTGATCTACCCTTTTTCAATGTCATAAGGGATCGGCCCAAGGATGGACATTATGGAATGAAATGAGCCATGTATCAAACTCAATTTTGAAGTATAATTTTCAATGTCAATTTTTGTATAGGTTAGATTGATTTTTAATACGAAAATGCTTTACGATTTGATACCAAACAAACAGATGCAGTTTGGAGTCAGAGGGATTCTGATTTATGTGAAATATGTACATGCAGAATCATATAATTCATAATTTTGTTTTAAAACACACACACACACACACACACACAAGTGTTTTTAAAACAAAAGCTTCTTATAGAGCATGCATGTATAAGATAAAAAATGTTGAGAACTGAAAATGATAAGAATGAAGGAAGGACATTTTTCTAATTTTTTGTAATGCTGATTTGTTTGTTTTTCTTTAAAAAAGTAACTGAAACATAATATTAAGTGAAATGAAGAAATTAGAACAATTAAAAAAAAAATGTTAAAACCTGTACCGGTATTCAAAGAGCTATAAATCAGCTTGCCTATTGCAACCAAAATTTTCTGACAAGTTATAACTCTGCTTGCCAGTGTGGCAGTGTACATATTTTCCTGAAGACGAGGAACCAAACAAACACAGGGAAAGTCTTGTACATGTAGATAACGTAGTTGCTAAGATGGGCACTTTTAACCTGACATTTTAAGCGCCTTTTATTCTAGATCCATCTCACCCCAATAACCCTTCTAATCAAACCGACACACATCTCCCAGCCCAAGCGCTGCACGACAAAGCCTCTTGTGATACCCTTCTTACATTGTCTTGGCCTTTCCATTGCTATGATTCACCAGTGTCCTAATGATTCAGGCCTTGTTCAAATTTACCCATGTCACCGACGATACATCTTCCAATTATTCAATCCATCCTGACCGACCAAAGTCCCCTTCTGAAATCTTTGAGGTGAGATCTCTGCGTTGTCTGCAGAAATAGATGGTGGTTGGAAGGTGCGGTTGATGGATATAGGCAAGCATACGATGATCAACAAGTCATTGTACTGGCAATGTCTCATCGTGCACTCTTCCATCAAGTCAAGCAGAGATATCTAATCCTAGATTCTATTCTAGATCTCGCAAGAAATTTAATTCACTAGTGTGCTAATTTACATTCATTTACATCTTTATTTTCCATGTTTGGCAATGTCTTGGTGTGGAGTTGTTACCAAAACCTCAAAGTGTAGGAAAGAGAAAGTTTTACAAAATTAATGAAATCTGAAATCTGGTTGTTTATCAGAAATTCAAGAAAATGACATTACAATATTTACATTACAATTTGCACTAAATCAACTCCAGAAAGTTTTTTCCTTTTTTTATCTTTTCTTAACTATACAATTGTGTTTATTTTTCAATGAGTAATAACATTTCAACAGTACACCTGACATTTTAAAATGATTTTACTGTTTATGAAAACAATGTGTGGATATGCAGTGCACAAATACTTGGCTTCTAGCATAGATGCTGAATCTCTAGAATCACAAATGAGAGATTTCATAACCATGCTCTGATGAGAAATGCTGGTATTTCTCTTCACCTATAAAATTCAAGTCGATGAATAATCTTGAATATTCCTTAATCAATTGAAATCCTTTCATCTTTCAGCTTTTCCTCCACGGAGCCCAACGGACTGATCTTCTACAATGGCCGCTACAACCAGCAGCATGACTTCATCGCCCTGGAGATCGTCAACAGCCAGGTTCGATTCTCCTTCTCCACCGGTAGCATTGTCACCACGGTAACCGCATCCAGACAGGGAGGAGTCAGCGATGGGGAGTGGCACACTGTTGCGATTGATTACAATTTTAGGGTAAGTCAGAATCCCATGTTGCATTGGTATTCAATATCCCCGTGCTTGCTCAAGGGTTTTCCATGTTGTGGATGTCTCAAGAGTTTAAAGTGTCTTCATTTAATAGAAGTCAAGTATGTAGGAGAAAATTGATGTATTAATCTGCATTTCAGAGTAATGGAAATTTAAAGGGGATATTGAGAAGTGGTATTGTCCAGGAAAGCTCTTTAAATTAATTTATTTTAACTGATCTCATCTTCTAAATGTATGGTTCCTTAGAATGCATAGGGTATACATAGTGCTAATTTATTATAGAATGAAATCTTATTTTCCCTGTACTGCAATTTGCACAGTACATCTACGTGTTGTTTTGAAAATATTCTATATATCACTTAATATATTCTGCAGAATTTTATATTCATAGTTGCGAACAGGTGTCCCTGGTGGGACTTTTAAAAACCTCTATTGGAAATTTATGTGTAATTAGAAAAGCCATAGAAGCAAGATGGTGGATATATAGCCTGTGTGTAGAACCCATGGGGGACCCCCTCCCCATTTACTTTCTTCACATGACCAATCTCCCATGAAACGACCCAATTTTCCGGCTCCTCACCGCCGCACACAAGTGGTCGGACTGGCTCTTTCAAGTATCCCATAGGATTCTGGATTTATGTCTTTCTCCTCATTCTGATGGCTCGTGGGGCAATTAAGAGAAGGATGTAATTATATTAGGAGGTTGCATTTAGAGATCATCGCGAATCTTTTCATTAGCATAATTGAAAAGGTTTGCATCCAAAATAACAATGCAATCAACAATACTACTGGATTCTCTCTTCATAGAGGTAGAAGTAGAGGAGTAAGCACTTTCTGTCAGCTATTACATTTCTGAGAACAAAAAATTGTATCCTTTGCATAAAATACTTTTATCTTTGTTTTGCTTAAATCAGGGAAGATTCCCAAATAGTTATCTATCTGTGAAACCTTACAAAGGTTGAGAAAATATAGAATGACTCTTTAAAAAAGTAATGGATAAGTAATAAAATTTCATTCTTATATTACATTCAGCTGTATGGGGTTATTTTGTTTCAATCGACCCATTCCATGTAACTATCTTGACTGGAATCAAACACCATTTTTTTGCCCTATACAAACTCAACGAGTATTGAAATCCCATCAAGACGTTCTCACATCTTCATCCTCCCTCTCTCCTCTCATTTTAAATATGAAATATCATGTGACCCTGAAAGGATGCGCTATCAAATCATCTTCAGGAACCAGTGCGGCATGAGGCAATCTGATTACGAGCCTTGATCAGTGGATAGAAAAACAGGATCTCGCAGGCATTTGCAGCGTAACTAGATAACTCTAATCCCCTTCACCATATTTGCTGGGGGATTATCGATGAATGGGAAAGTGATGTGTTTGCCTTTTGAGATCGGAAAAGATGAATATTGCATGCCCATGGTCCCAGATTTAAACAAACAAGGATGAAAAAAGTATCACCTCAGTTGCCAATTTCAAGATCAAACTTTGTTTTGCATGGAAAAGTTTGCCTTGTATTACTGAAAAAAGTTTCGATTGCACTTTTCAGGCTGAACCCAAATTAAGTCTATGTAGTACACTGAATTAAGTTTCCATTTTGATAATGCTGAACTCACCCTTGTATAATTAAAAGACATTTAAGAGGAAGAAAAATGTACATTGTGTTGTTAGTGTTAAGAATAACTGAATTTTCACAAAAGAATTTCAGAACTTTTTACAGGTTATAGATAGGGTAAGTAGATCAAATCCCTTGCAATGATCACATTTTTTGTAAAGAAATGGCCCTCAGAAAAAAGCTGCAACCAAATGTACGTTGCAAACTGATCTCTTAAATTATTATTTTTCTTCAAATATGGTGTCTGTCTTTTAAATTGGCCATGCATGTCTGGCACAAAATGACTTACAGTCAATAGCAGAATGGAGGACATCATAATGATAATACGCTCATCAACTAGATTCCAGTTTGGGAAATTGATTTTTAATCTTCAGGAAATGGGGTATTAATTTTTGAGAAGGCTACGTGATGACCATGCATGCATCAAGTTGAAACGTGGAATACCTGAAGTGGATTAGCGTGATGTTACACAAGGTTTAATATCAAAGAGCACCTTTTTCTGTTATCATCCTAAATATTACACTCCAATAGAAAGGGGATCCGTCTCTGAATATGAATTATTTATTACTCCTAATCTCTCTCCTGCTGCTAGATCATGTTGATGAGCATATATCTATACCTAGCAGTGCATGGTACACCTGATCTCATTCTGATAAGGTTTTATAAGGTTCTATTGCAGTATAATAGCAAAAGATTTCATATTGATACACATTCTACTCCTACCAAATCAAACACTTTTTATGAAAGCTGTTTCAGTGTTCTTCTGCAATTAAAGTGTTATGGTTTAGTATAGGTTTGTAATGTTCTTACTGCTTTGTAATTAGTATCAACATGCAAATGTTCATTCATTTCAGTCTCACTTCTAAAATGCATGACAAAATTCCTTACGAGGATATATCTTATGTGCAAGAAATTCATGGACAAAAAAGGTTGAACACTTGCCTCTTCAAATTTATTTGCTTCCATTTTTGTTGAGGAGGTGAAAAATGATAGAATTTCACTGTTACCCTTGTGCAGTACCTCCATATGTCACAGACCCATTGCCTCCTTGCCTCTTCTTTAATGAGGCAATAGAAGTACTTCACAGAAATGGCTTGATGTGAGGAGAATACTATACTTTGAGAGGGGTTCTTTGGACTCTCTTTACCATAAAGGCAACCCCATTCTGTTCATTTCCACTTCTGATGCACTACAATCCCACTCAAGATGTTGGGTATTTCCTGTGCAAGGGGTACGAATGTTGTTGTGGAAAGTGTAATGCAGAGTTGTAAATGTCAGTCAGAAAGTAATCTAAAACCTGCAAAAAGCTCACATAGAGAATATTGTGAAATCTTTTCATTTTTTTCTCCATGTGTTTTGGAAAGAATGTCTGTAGGAAGAATATTTTGACCCTCTCTACCGTACAAGCTATCCCTCTCTTGACACTAAAGAATCCCACTCCCAGCATTCAGCATTTCCTGTGCATGGGGTAATGTAAACATGTTGTTGTGGAATGGTACATGGACCAAAGTAATATTCAACTGTGCAAAATGCTTCTTAAAGAATACTATTTGAGGAGAATACTATACATTGAGAGGAGATACTTAGCCCCTCTCCTCTTTACAAGTAATACCACACCATACATTTGGCATTTCATATGTACATGTATGGGATGGAAATATTGTCATGTAAAGGTTAATGTGGAGTTATAGATGGTACAAAGTAATTATAAAGTTTGAAAAAGGGGATTTTTAGAAAGAGTGTTGTGACTTTAAGTTGTTTTTCTTGCCATATGTTTTGGAGTGAATGCCTTTAGGAAGAATGAGGAGAATACTATACTAGAGGGCCTGGAGAGGGGTTATTTGGACCCTCTCTACTTCCATACAGGCAATCTCACTCCTGACACTACATTCCCACACTTGACTTTCAGTATTTCCTGTGCCAGGAGTGAAAATGTTGTTTGCGGAAAGGTTATTATGAAGTGGTAGATGGTAGAAAGTAGTTCAAAACTCTTTGAAGAAGAAAAAAATATTGTTTTTATGGTCTTATGTTTTGAAAAGTATGTCTGTAGGAAGAAGACAAGTAAACGGTGGCCATACTTTTGCGACTGCTACATTGCTAAAGGGGAAAATCAACTCTGTGCTTGTGCATATTATATTACAGATATCTACTTTAGTACTTTGTAGAAAAACTGATATGCTCTTTTCAACACAAAAAGGACTCTAGCTTTTTTCTTTTAGTCAGCTTAACCTAAATGATTGATTGCCCAATATATTAGAATATAAAAGCTAGCACAAACATACGGTAGGGTAATTTACACTGACAACATGAAATAAAATCCCCCAAATGAATGTATTCTCTTAATGCATCCCATCTCTATATACCTCTATATACCACCTCCATATACATGTATACATAATTGTGTGCTTGTGCATCCTGTATACACACCTCACACTCACAACTACATACAGTATCTTTTCCGTCGATACATAAAGCATTATCCAGGGATGCCTCATCAGATGTGTATTGGTTGGGCTGTTGATGGCCTAGATAGCCTTGATTCTTGATTAATCAAAGATGAGAAATGATGTGAAAAAGCGAGTGGCTAGCTGGGCAGAGTACACATGAATGTTTAAAACGGCATCGATTTTAATCATTCAGGCCTGTAATTCACCCAATCAGGATTTTGTGTGGGAACTAGCAATATCTAGTTATGCAAGTAAAGTCAGGTGAAATGCAGAAGAGTAGATAATCTTTTTCGAAATTGAGAAACAGAGATTGTTTAAACAACAGTTTTTGACAGATCCTAACATTACTGGACAATCACTGTCCTTTTTCAAAAAGAAGTTAGTGTTATTGATGGTATTAAAATGTCATTTTTGTTTATCAGAGAAATATGTGGCATACATGTGGAATGTATTGCTATCATTCAAGGATGCTTATAAATACGCACATTGACATTTTAAATGCTCTATAGCTGCATAATTTTTCAAATATATATTTCATTTTTATCTCCCTTGTCTATACTCCTCACTGTGAAGACATTTTATTCCTTTTGTTGGCGTCAGAGACCTTTTGAATTAATAAATCAAGAAGGTTAGATGCAGAAAAAGAAGGCTCTTACAAATTCAGGAAATGTAGCCTTGTTTAACCGTCTCTTCACATTAACGGCCAATATTTCAGTCCCGGTTCTAATTTCCGAAAACCAGTCCAATCGACCCAGTTTCGGCTATCGAGGAGGTGGAGGCGTGGAGCTTCTTAAATGTCAGACGCTGGGCTTTCAGATAGAGAGTTGTAAATCTTTTGTTCTCCCAGGCACACAGATATGGCGACATGATTGAGACAGGCTTTTTTTGGATATGATTGTCTATGTTAGATGAGATTA